TATCCTGCAGGGTATGACGTCTTCCAAGCTCTTCTACCATCTTGCCCAGTCCATCTTTCCATAGCTTCCTAGTGCAGTATGTTGATATTATCACTTAGGATTTGTCTTCCCTACCAACAGGAGCTGTGTCTAACAGTTTTTTTTTTAGTTCCAGTGCCTAAGACCCTGCCTTACACAAAACAGGAGGTTAGTAATGGCTCGAGTAAACTGAAATGAAGCTTGGATCTGAAAAAGAAAGAAAAACAAAAGCCATAAAACCAGGCAGTACTAATCCCCGAAAACTAAGTCACCTGTGGTCCCATCAAAGGATTGATGGAGTGTAGGGCCAGGGCACCACAGGCTTCTTACCTGTTCTGAGCAGTGGACCAACATTCATATGACCAAGCATTTATTGTACTCATTTGTTTAAGAAATCTTTGAAAGTCTTTCAAACGTGGTGCTGTATTAAGTTAACTCAAATCTAATGAGGTTATATTAACAGAAGTACAGCATATGTCCAGGGAGGTGACCTGCCAAATTGTGCTACCTGAAGGCTCTGGGGTAGTATAAAGAATCCAAAGATTTTCTCTTCCTAACAAAACATTTCTTATTATAGTCCTTGTATATTGTATTTCTTTCTTTGTAATATTTTCTTCATTTGTCCTCAACTTTTCTGAATTAAAAAGTTATCACACAGGTTCTTATCCAGTTTCTGGAGCATACTTTTTCTCTCGGTTCCATCCCTCCACTTTTTCACGATTGAAAATGTTGCTGGTATCCTATTTTGACTGGAAAATTACAGATAACTTGAAGTAACAGTTACTCCCTACAAAATGAGGTTGGAATTTTAACTCTTTACAGTAGAGTGCTCCTCAAAGCTTTCTAGTTCTATTTTAAACCCTAAAGGAAAAGAAAAATCTAAGAATGAGATCCAAGAAGGAAGCTGATGTAATTTTTGTGTACTTCTGATGAAATTTTTACTCTCAGCTGCTTTTATTTCTTATTTGGCACTAAGGTATCTTAAAAAAAAATTCCAACCCACTCACCCCTAAAACAAAACAAAACAAAACAAAACAAAACAAAACAAAACAACTAGTTGGCAGCCTAAGACAATTTTTTTTTCACTTAGCACTGCAAGATGTGCTAAAATTACTTCATCTTGAAAGACTTGCTGATATTCCTGAGTGAGAAATACCCCCACCCTTGATTTTTTTTTTTCTTTATGGAACAAAAATAGGTCTGTATTGGTGGGAGAAAGAGTTTGGCAGACATGCTGATTGTAATACTGTAGTGGAAAACACTTTGATTGACTAAAACTCAGATACCGCTCGTTAAAAGCCTCTAACAATGTCTCCATTATGGTGTTCACCACACTTTTATGGGATTAATAATAGGATCCCCCAGTCTAGCAGTGGAAAAACCAAGAGAGAACATTTGAGAATTGCTTTCTCATCTTTCCCCAGGACTCCCTCAAAAAAGTGTTGCCTGGAACATGGCCTTATTGAGAGCAGAGACCTTGTTTCATAGTTACTGTATCTCCTTTGTATGTATTGTCCCCTCAGTCTTTCTCTGTGGAAGAAGAATGGGAAGAAATTGAGGTGTTAATTTGCACTTTGATTTCTCTTAACTCCACTAACCTAGATTCAGCCCTCACTTGTAGGGACTGTGCACTGGCCCTGGGAAAGATGAAATGAGGAAGTTTTCCAGTACACATGTTCTTGTCTTTGGAGGTTAGCCCTGAGTCTTACAACAAAAACAGAATTAGTAGTTGTTAATTACTGTATCATTTTCCAAAACACACATGGTTTATTGTTACAGTCACTTACAGATAGTTTTGTGTGACACACTTTTACTTTTGTGTTTCTACTAAATCTCTAAGTGACTAACCTCCATTGTTCCTAATGTATTAAAATTGTCAGAGGATTCTCTTCAGGACGATATGTGTCGATAATGCTTTGTTCGTCTGAACGATGTGGGAAAAGGGAAAGCCAAGTGAAGAGCTCTTGATGTTGTGATCAGAATAACGAAGTGGCATCCAAGGATTGCCCCATCATGGTTGGATTATTTGAATATAGAAAGAAGTTATGTTGAGGCGTGGCATTCCTATAAACCGTGAAACTGTATTCTACAAACTGGAAATTCATGCACTAAATAAAAATTACCAGATGTCAGTGTTTGTAAGTGCCAACTGGCAAATGTGTGGTGGTTTAGAAGTCTGGAAGAAATGATGCTCACTTCATTGTCATTCAGACTCAAAAAGGCTAGTTGAGGTAGAATGCTGTTTAAAAAAAAAGGAGGAGAACTACAGTGGAATCAGCTACCCAAAGATGTTATGTGTTACGAACTATTATCTGAAAGGCTTTAATTTTTTCCCTCATGACCCCATGCATGTTTGTGGCATTGCACATGTAACCCATGTTTCTATTCTAATTTATTACATTCTTTCCTGAGGTGTATCTCATTCTTTTAAAGGATCGGCAGATATCTTATTTAGGGAACCAGCCTGAACATAGTAGCATCAAAAAGGTCCAATGCAGAGCTAAATTATTTTTACCTTGCCCATTCCAGCACACTTCAGTAATTTTCATAAAAGCATCAAATGGTTTCTCTTCTCTCCTTAGAAATTCGAGCTCAACTGGTAGAGCAACAAAAATGCCTGGAGCAGCAGACAGAGATACGAGTTCAACTTCTCCAGGACCTGCAAGATTTCTTCCGGAAAAAAGCTGAAATTGAGACAGAATATTCTCGGAACCTAGAAAAGTTAGCAGAAAGGTTCATGGCAAAAACAAGAAGCACTAAGGATCATCAACAGTACAAGTAAGAGAGACTTGACTCCATTCATCTTTCCAAGATGATACCCTATCTTTTTAATCACCCATTACTGGTCTTAGAATTTTCTATTTTTGTCTGAAAAGCTGTTGATTGGTATATCCCCGGAGATAAAAGTAACCCTCTGGATTTATAATTTATGAGCATAAATTCATTACTTTTTTTAAACAACTTTATTGTGGTATGATTTCTGTTTACAGTAAACTACACGTATTTCAGATGTGCAATTTGATGAATCTTGATAGATGTGTACACCTATGAAGCCACCACCACAATCCAGATACCTAACATTTCCATCCCTCCCCAAGAGGTGCACATTTCAAACTCCCAATTTATCCCTCCCCACCCCTTTTACATTTTAAACAAATAGTATTCTCTTGATATGTTTCTCTTTCCAATAAATACACTAGGAGTTGACATCTACTACAGGTAGATACTTGGATGGGCAGATTTAAAATAGCTGATTCTTCCGTGATGTGACATGAAAACGAGTAGTGAGAGTTGCTTCTGATTACACACACTTTCCTGCTCCCCCCATCATGTTTGTGGTCATTGCAACTGAGACTGACAAGGGCCTTTGGTAAAATGCTTATGGTCTAGCTTAATTAATCCTTATATTAATTGCACAGTTGACCCTTGAACAACACAGGGGTTAGGGACACCTATCCCCTCTACAGTCAAAAACCCACGTACTGCTATCTTTGCTTCAAAATCTAAGGAATTGATACATGACCCACCTAAATGAAATGGTTGTGGATAGAATCAGGACTCAAACTCAGATTCTTTGGATTCTACATATGGTGATCTCTAATCGCGTACAAACTTTTCCCCACGCCTAGTTAATTTTAAGATCTGTAAAATGAAAACACTTGCCTTATATTTATTGAAAAAGAAATCTGCATATAAATGGACCTGCACCGTTCAAACCCCTGTTCAAGGGTCACTGGTTTAAAAATAAAAATTAAAAAAAAAATACGTGCAGGTTTCTCTGATCATGAAATGAACTCTAGGATTTAAATCTGAGAGACAATGCCAGTTGAGTACACAAGCACACTGACAGGGACGAGCGCAGGAGGCCATGGACACACCTGACGGAAATCCATTCTGTCATGGAGGTGGGGATGGGAAGGTCCAGAAAAGGCCCTAGAAGAGGTGGTAGGTAAATGAAGACCTGAAGGGATAGTTGAGGCCTGTAGATCCTACCAGGATGTTCGGGCTTTATCCTGAGGGCTTGAGCCTTTGGAGAGTTTTAAGCAGAAGGATGCCCAGCTCAGACCTGCATTTTAAAATGATGACAGGATGGTGGACGGGAGGAGGATATCATTAAGGGAGGGGAGACCAGGTAGAGTGCTGTAATCACGATGACGTGAACTAGCAAGGCTGCAGGGAGAGAGGAATAGACTTGTTTAGGAGATACTAAAGAGACAGCCCAGCCTCTGATTTCTGGAAATACAGGCAACTAGATAATCCGAAATTTCTTCTGTGACAGAACTCCCCAAAATGCTGCCTGACATAGCCTAGACATCATTTTATATGTGTAACTGAATTCATAGGAAAGTAAGGGAAATTTCCAAGGGCCAGAAAAGGAAAAGGGAACTGAAAACTTCCGTGGTGGTTGAATCACGCTTTAGTCTCATGTGGGGACAGAAGATGAGGCCTGTGCAGGGTAGGGAGTTGGGAGCGAGGACTTCACCTCCTCACCGTGAATCCTGTTGTGCTGCATCCCAGCCTAGAGCCAGGAGCGGCACAACTACCAGCTCGGTGAGGCAGTAGAACAGGACACCCCCTGCCTGCCTGCACAGGGGGCAGCAACCCCGGGCTCCAGATGGAACGGGGCTGCAGAGGGGCCCATCTTGGCCTTCACAATTTCATTTTACACCCTTCTGTGGCCTGGGAGCCCGCGTAAGAAGTAGAGTAGTTTTTTTTTGAGGAACCTGCATGTGTTTTCCACAGCAGCTGCACCAGTTTACATTCCCACCAAGATGGTAGGAGGGTTCCCTTTTCTCCACATCTTCGCCAACATTCGTAATTTGTGGTCTTTTTATTCCCCCCCTTATTTTTTGTTTTTGTTTTTTTTTTTTAAGTGGGAGAGATAATTAGGTTTGTTTATTTATTTAATGGAGGCACTGGGGATTGAACCCAGGACCTCGTGCATGCTAAGCGCACACTCTACCACTGAGCTATACTCTCCCTCCACCATTTGTGGGTTTTTTTGGTGGTAGCCATTCTGACAGATGTGAGGTGATAGCTCATTGTGGTTTTGATTTGTGTATCCCTGGTGATTAGCGATGTTGAGCATCTTTTCATGTGCCTGTTGGCCATCTGCATTTCCTCTTTGGCGGTTCCACTACTATTTATCAGAAAAAAATAAAAACACGGATTCAAAAAGACACATGTATTGTAATGTTCCTGGCAGCATTAATTATAATTGCCAAGATCTGGAAGCAGCCTAAGTGTCCATTGACAGATGAATGGATAAAGAAGATGTGGCATAGTTATACATATATACACACCCATATATACACACACAATGAAATACTACTTGGTCATAAAAAGGAATGAAATTTTGTCACTTGCTTCAACCTGGGTGGACTTACAGGGCATTATGCTAAGTGAAATAAGTCAGACAGAGAAAGACAAATACTGTATGATGTATCACTTGTATGTGGAATCTAAAAAATACAACAAGCCAGTGAATTTAACAAAGAAGCAAACTCACAGATACAGAGAACAAACTAGTGGTTACCAGTGGGGAGAGGGTAGGGGGCACAAGCAATATAGAGGTAGGGAATTAAGAGGTACAAAGTATGTATAAAGTAAATAAACTACAAAGATATATTGTACAACACAGGGAGTATAGCCAGTATTTTATAACAACTTTAAATAGAGTATAACCTTTAAAAATTATGAATCATGGTATTGTACACCTATAACTTATATAATATTGCGCATGAACTATACTTCAATAAAAAAATTGTTTTAAAAACCTTCTCATCATAAAAAAAAGAGTAGGAACTTTTGCAGGAAAAAAAGAAGTTGGAGTCCTTTTGCAGAAGCAAATGGAGAACTATTCTGGATAAGGAATACTTTTTTTTTTTTTTTTTGGATAACTTTAGCCTTGTGTTGGTCCAGCATAGAAATAAATCTTAGTGATGGTTCCCAGGATGAACAAACATCACATGTACTTGACAGAGACTGGAGCCAGTACTAGACCTGCAGTTATAGAAACTGTCCCTTTTTTAAAGTGATTGCAAATAAGAAGACAGCCCACTCATCCATTCCGTAAATATTTTTGAATGTCTCCTTCTGTATTCTGCACTTGGCAATCCCTTGTGAACTGAAAACGTTCATGGGCCCGTGCACCTAAGTCCGATCCCCGAGTGAATCCAGCTGCCACTTTTTTTTTTAACACCTTTATTGTGGTATGACATTTTTTGTTTCCTCCGGTTTGTTCACTAGTTTTCTTTGAAAGGTGAGCAGCTTGGAATTTTCTTTGACTTGAGTAGTTTATTAATGACTAAGGACTGAAGAGAAGATAATAAGTCTACCAAAAGGACAGATCAGGATTAGGGAAAAAAAATCAAGAGAGTCAGACACCTGGTTTGAATACCAGCTCTGCTGTGTGACTTTGGTCAAGTTGCTTAACCTTTCTGAGCCTTGGTTTCCTAAATTACAAGATTTTATGACCATTAAATGAGAAACATGACAAATCTTTGATGTGACTAACAGCTGACATGGGGGTATTCCTCCTCTTCATGAAACAGATGTTCAATCTTTAGGACCGTAACTTTACCAATCATCTAAGCTGGGCTGTGGAGTCTAGCTCTTACTCAGTTTTGGGGTGCTTGTTGTGTAAGATAATCCTTGGCCTAAAGTAGCCCCTGTGTGGTGGAAAGACCAAGGCTTGGATCAGCCTCCCTGGACTCAGAGACTCTCTGATGCTAGTTTTGGTCTTGAGCAAATCACTGTGCCTTGCTAAGCTTAAGTTCTCTCATTGGTGGAGGGGATATAAGGCCTCTCTACCTTGAATTGTGGTGGTAAAGATTATGTAGAGTTAAGGTGTGTAGAGTCTTCAGACCAGACACTAGAGAGCAATCACTAACTTTACAGAGCACTTACTGTGGATCCTAAGGCACTCTAGCCTGCCTTAAAAATACATAAAAT